TCAGAGCAGAAAGCACAATAAACAGCAGAAAAATCGTTTTTATGACACACGCGTGCGCATATTTATTTATAAATATAAGCGTGTATATATATATATATGTGTGTGGTGATGGTGACGAGTGTGTAGCGTCTTCGGGTGTACGGTGCAGCCGCGCGCACGGCCCGTTAGATCGTTGGATGGATTATGCATTATGTGTCGTAGCTGGAGAAATGAATTTCCTTGGCTCGCGCGTAAGTGTCCTTCGTTCGGCTGTACGTATATGCAGTGCTTCGAGACTTTTTTTTTTTCAGAAATTCGAGACGATCGGCTTTTATATATATATATATATCACTCGAGTTGCTTATTACAACGCTTTTATGCGTCACTGCGTGTAGTTTTACTTTTTTTTTTTTCCTACACAAGTTGGTCGCGATGGCGTTTCGAGACAAATTGGAAATCTGTGCGCCCCACCCCTGAGGTATTTTAACGAGGGAATCAACGTCAGTGCGCTTTATTAATTACCTACAAGTACCGGACAATGTTTCGTTTCTTCCTTTTCTTCGAGTCACAACTCGTGAGAATCGCTTTGGACACGTCCTAATTGACGCGCCAATTAGATTTTTGTTCAATAATACATACTATCGAGTGATATGCACACCGCATGTGTCATTTGACTCTCTCTCTCTCTCTCTCTCTCTCGAGATGTATACGTGTCTTCCCTTCGAGGTCGCGTTAATGGGTCACGCATATACGCGTGTAACATGTACGCGCTTCTCCGATCGAGCTAATTACTTTTTAATAACGAAACGCGGCGAGAAAACCCGTGCCACCGTTTTCACCTACATGTACACGCGTAAAAGGAAAAAAAAAAAAAAAAAAAAAGGAATCTGAGGTCGCGCATCGGCGGATTTTTCATTCATCCCTCTCTCTCTCTGTGCAGTGGACACACAATGACGCGAAATATTTGTGATGAATTAAATTTTCATTTTTTAAATTTTATTTCTACTCGAGGGAAAGAAAACTACTCCGGAGACTGTTTGTACTGGATGCGACAATCCCGGCATTCCTTTACTTCGAGGAAATTATTTATTTATTTGCCTTACGTAAGGACGCGAAAAGGAAAATTGTATCAGAGACAGACGCGCAACTGCCAAGGTTGGGAAAAACGAGCGCAATATCCAGAGGAGGCGCGCGCGGCTATTGGAGATGGAAAAACAAAGAACATCCTATCAAAAAAGCAATTAGAAAAGCGCGACTTCCTACTCGGATAAAGAGGGGAAGAAAAAAAATGCACCAACTCGCGGAGTATTTGACAAAAACGGGGGAATCCCCTGCTTCGCGTGGTCCTCTGTTCCGGCATATGTAGGAAAAGGGGAGCTCGTTAGCCGCTGTGTGTATGTATGACGGGCAAAGCAGTGTATGCGCGATCTCTCTCTTTTTTCCCGCGGCGAGCAAACGGAACGGAATTATAAGAGGAAGCGCGGGTCCCCTTCCATAGCCATATGCACACAAGCACCGTTGGTACGTTTCGTCGTCGTCCTCGTGATGTTTTATCTCTCGTTGTGGTGGGCACCCCTTGCGGCAAGTCCAGTTGTTCCGGGCGATGATAATTTGCGTGTGCACCCCCTATCTCTTGGGTCGAATCGGTCATCGGTATGGGAAAGACTACTCTTTTGGATTCTAACGGGTTGATAGATACTATGTACTCTATATATATAATCTCAAATTGCGTGATAAGTGTACAGATTTTTCAAAACAGTACACATACAGTGTATATTATATGCAACACTATATTCGAACCGTTTCACCATTTCAAAGTTGCCAAACTTTTTTTAACTGTTATATATTCACTATTTCCACCAAGTTGATGTTTTACCATTCAAATCGGTTGGTACCATCAGTTGAAATAATATGTACGGATCGTGCAATTTGGATAACTGATGAATATTTGGAATTAAAATATTTACATCGACTGGCGATCCTCACTTGTCCTCCTCAAATAGTGAAATTTTCACTGTTTAAAATTAAAACTAGTATGATGTATGTGTGCAATTGTTTGCAATTGAAAGGGAAGAAAAACAAAAAAAAAAAAAAAGTAAAAGAGAAATCAAAGCTGGTACGATAAGATGAGAACGGAATGGGTGATTTATACAATACACGTGCACTATGCATCGTATAGATAACAAAGGGAGGACAGGTTAAACGGGGGAGAAAGAGGTCATATTTATCATTATACTACACGCGTATGGCAACCCCGTTTATTTCGTCGCGAAGTGGAAAATCTCGAAATATATACGACTCGCTTGCACAAAGGTACAAAAAAAATGGACACGAAAAGAGAGCCCTTTTTTTTCCCTCCACCCGCGCGAGGGAGCCTATATATATAGCCGTTGTCCGCGAGAGACACCAGCTCTCGCCTCGTCGTCCTACACCATATCTCTTTATTTTCCTCTTACCTCTGGAATTTCAATCTATATATATATGTATATGTGCGCGCGCTCGCGCCAAAGTATATATACTCGCAGAGCGCTAATGCGCCTGGATTAGCATTTTCGCTTGTTTTCCGTGGATCAAGAGAGGAAAAACGGAGATAACGATCGGCGGGGGCTTTTACGCTCGTACATCTTCATCTGGCAGAGGGAGAAGAAAAGATGGAGATATGGCCTTTTTTTTTTTTAATGTTCATCGAGGCCTTGATTGCGCGACAAAAGAGGTAGTGGCGACGCTCATTGTTTCGCCGTATTTTCGGGCCCGTGATGAATTATTGATTGCAATTTGGGACTTTTGGGTTATCGGGGAGGAGGACAATTGGCTGACGTGTGCGGAAGAAAATCGGTGCGCGTGACCGAAATTGATATTTACATGTATACGTCGCGCGTGCATATTTAGCGCGAGGACAATAATCCGCTTATGGCGAAACGTTTGAAAGACCAGGAAGCGATTGCCGGATCGCGGCTCTTGTCGAACGGAGCTTGAGGTATGGGTGCATAGTACGAGGCGCGAAAATGACGCTTTGCCCGTGTTTGCTTTTTCTTTTTTTGTTGTTGGGTCGGGGTATTTTTTTTTTTTTTTTTTTTTTTTCATTCATGAAGCTGAGTATTTTTGGGTACACTGTAAATCCAAGTTCAAGCACACGTTTCAACCGTGTATAATTGTAACTTTTTTCTTTTGATAAAATTCATTGCAGTTGCGTTGATAAACTCTGTTACACTATCTCGCCAAATCTATTGAAATTAACCATTTAAAAAAAAAAAAAAAAGGAGGGGGGACAAAAATATAAAAATATTTTTTTTAAAAAAAAAAAAAAAAAAAGGAAAAAAAACTTTAAAAAAAAAAAAAATCAAAAACCATTTAAAAAAAAAAAAAAAATGCAATAGAGAGTAAAACGTTTCTTGCATACTATACTATACTTTAGTTGCCGTCAGCACAACCATTGCGCATTTTATTGAAAAGAGAAAAAGTATTTGGCTCCACAGTGTACAACTTATCAAACAACATTGATTTATTCCTATTTACTGCGCAGATTTGGCCAAAAATTACAGAAAAAAAAAAAAAAACAAAAAAAAAAACCGTAAATCTGGAAAAGTATACTTACTTCGGAGAGCAGCGGTGCAAGCACGGCGCGCGACACGCGTGAATCACCTGTACTTATATACCTACATACGCGCACGCATCGCGTTATATTTTGGCATGAGAACGAGGCCAAGCGGCCGAGAGAGAACCAGCTCACATAATATATTATATTATGCACGTAACACGTGTGTGTACACACATATATAATATATATGTATGTACACACGTATTTATATAAAAAATATAAATCATTGCTGGAGTAACTGATTAGATTTTTTGAATCACATAAAAATAAAAAGAGTATAGTTAAAAATGATAAATCCTCATCCACNCGACGGTACACCTATGAAAGCATACCAACTCGCCAGCCCACGAATTGCGCACTAAGGATCACCAGCACCAGGGCCAATGGTATATATATATGCCTGTACAATAGGTAAGTATACATTGTAACAGCAACAAACGGTTAAGCTGTCGAGTTTCGCGGGTGTCCGTAATTGGGCGTCTTTAATCGGACACCGGCATCGGCACTTTTAGCATATTACTCCTGTCCTTGTCTCCGGACAAATGCATTTATTCTTATTTTTTTTTTTTTCAAGGGCGGCTCTCTTTGTGTACGTTTTTTTGTTTTTGTTTTATCGACGCTGAAGATTTAGTGGCTTTCCGTATGCATAGGGGCCAATTATGCGCGTCCGCGCGCGTAATCGATTACACGAACAGGGCACTATTGTTTGTACGTTTGCATGTTTTATATATACACCCGTGTATACGCGCGAAATTAAAGATTTAAAAGATCCACCGATGGGATAATGACGCTTTTACGTAATTTTTGATAATCCACTCGGTCGGGTATCTTTGGGCTCCGCGAGTGTTTTTTTTTACGTTTTTCTTTTTTTTTTTTTTTTTGGAAGCAAAAAGTATTTTTTACTTGATTGTAAATTTTCCTTTTCATGAAACAATTTTTTTTTGTGTGTAGGTATTAAACGCACAAATAATAGGAACAATACGCGTTTCACGCGCAAACACGTCTCAAGGACGAGGGCAATTATCCGCGCCGATGCAGTTGTCATGGGAACTTGACGATCTTAATTGCTCACCTCATAATATATACACCTCGAAATTTAACGGGTCGCGATAAGCATCCACTCATATAATATACTCTTGTAATTCCCTTAACACCTCGAACGAAAAGTGATTGGTTCGGCCTAACTCAACGTTTGTTCGTTTATTTCTTTTTTTTGTTTTGTTTGGTTTTACTCTCCAGCATTGAAAGTAAAACGAATCGTAATTATAGACCGGCAAACCTTTGTTTTACTCCACTAAGCGATTATCCATTTCTAAAATTGTCACGTATACGCATACAAAAAAAAACTCGGGGGTTGGGGAAGAAATGGTAAAAGAAGAAGGAAAACAAAGAAAAAAAAAAAAAAAAAAACGGTCCAACTCACCCTGTTCGATGCGAGAAGGGGTAAAGCCGATCCCGAGCTTGCGCGCAGCACCGATCACTCGAGCGGGCTTCTCATCCTCGGGCGCACTCCGCAGCAACTTGCTCTTCTTCTCACCCTTTTGCTTGGGGGAAAAAAAACAAAAACAAAAAAAACTGTATCCTCCCGATGAGCGATATATACCGCAAAAGCCAAAAAGAACCGCGCTGCCTCTTCCCCGGGTTCCGCGCTGTACAGAGCACACACACGCGAGGAGAGCTCTCTCGAGGGAGTAAGTCCCGAGGACGCGGATGGCTCCCACTTATAAAGACTCCTCTCTTCTCTCTCTCTCTCCCTCGCCGGCGGCTTCTTCTGCTGCTTCTTCTCCAATTGGCGTATGTCCGCGCGCGCCGCTAAGGAATCGCTCGCTCGCACGTACATACATACATATATATGTATATATACACACGTTTTGCTTCCAAGCGCGCGAGCAAGAGAGGGAGGGAAAATATATATTATGTACCTCCACCAAACGTCGTCCAGATTGACACATCTCGATGTGGAGAAAAAACAAAAAAAAAAAAAAAAGCAACGATAAGGGTACCTCCTTGAGAGTAACTCTCTCTCTCTCTCTCTCTGTTTTTTTTCTTCCCTCCTTCTTCCGGGCGATTCAGTAGAAAGAGTCCGGGATATAGTCAGACGCGCGTTTCCGGGTGCGCCCGACTTATACACAATATATTCTCTCGGCGATGCGCTTGCAAAACGATAACCACGCGCGTTCGCGCACCCACGGCTATACATGACAATGCGCATTTTCCAATGACACACGTGTTCATACACCCATGGATTGTAAAATCCGCGGAATCCTCGATTTAGCCCCTAACGATCGGGACTACCGATCACAGGTACATACACATCGGCTCGAGTGACACGGCGAATCGGAAGCCGTTTCCGCCATGCAATTAAGTTACACGGAGATACACAGATATATATATATATACACGGAGAAAAGAGGACGGTGTGGTGGAGGGTAAGTATACGCGTGGAATGCGCTACTGATTTATGTATCACTGCGATCGAGGGGTGCACACATTATAACGGGGAATAAGCAGCGGCGCCCCCCTAGCTCCGTCGCAATTAGCGTCGCGGCAACACTATATATACAATATACTTACCCCCCTTGTTGAGGGGGGGGAAGAAGAAGAAGAAGAGAAAAAACACGTATACGTGTATATATAATTAAATCTTTAAGCCCGTCGAGTCGGTGCAGGGCAAGCTCTTTCGATCCAATTAGAGATGAAAAGCCAAGGGTATACGCATACACAAACGGGATAGATCGAGAGAAGAAAACGACATAGGGATAGCGTGTATATAATATATACACATAGCCCTTCTTTTCCTATAGAGAGAGAGAGAGAGAGAGAGAGAGAGAGAATGATCGTTTGCTGCGCGCATAGACACACGTGCAAGAGTGTATAGACTCGCGGAAGAGAAACGGTCCATTGTCCTCCTGTGTGCGCACATATATATTATACAGTAGTCGCTCCTTACATATATATCTGTATATATTCGTACGGTTGACGATACACTCCCTCTGTTTTATTTATTTAAATGTATACATATACCCTCTTATTTCTTCTTTTTTCACTTCAAGTTCGATGCCTGCGTCCACACGCGCGACCAGTATATTATCAGGGCACGTATATATTGTATTCTTCCGCGTCTTCTACATTATATATGCTGCACCTGCATGTGGCAAAAAAAAAAGGGGGAAAAACTATATGTACATATATACATACATATGCTCACCCTATCGGTGGATTTTATCATTCCGGGATGTGTAACCGCATTCCCTTGTTATAAGTATATATACCCAAAGGGGGGGGGGGAAGATTTTCAACGGTTTCTAGCCTGTAAGCGAGTCGGAAAAATCGAGGGACCAATACTTACCCACACACTTTGTTGTCGTCGCGCATAGGTTGTCGTTTGTTTCTTTAAGGGTTAGTGGTCGGCGCCGGCCAACGGGACTTGATGTTTTTACACCCGTGCGGGTATAGGTGTATGCATGTGTGCTGGGGACGTGTAACGTCTGATGAACATTTTTGCCCAGAGACACGACGGGGGGGGGGGGTTCGGTTGCAGTTAACGCTACTTTGCTTTGTTGTTTGGGAAATATAATGGATTTTCGAAATAACGGGGGTGTACGTACGAGGTATACGGTACGTGGGTGCTTTCGAACGGGATACACATATATTGTCATCGATTTTTAATACCGATTTTTTTCTTTTTTTTTCGACGATCGGTTGGATCGGATAATCTGTATGTAAGGGATCTTTTTTTTTAATTTCAATTTTGTATCGACCTACATTAACATTATCATTGACATCATTAACTGTAAGTTTTTGTTTTCTTGTATAGGTCATCCCATCCCGCATAGGTCATGTGGTAGAATTAAAGGGTCGACGTGCAGAGGAGAACCTGCAGTTCGAATCCCGGACATTCTCAAACGACGGGGGATGACATATTGTAATAAGTACAGTCAAAATATTATGTAATGAAAAATGTGATACAAAGGAATAAATAACATAATGTATTGTTTCCGCTGGATAGAGTCTTCCTTTTTTTTATTATTATTATTGTTATTTTTTTATTCTAATAAATATGCATGATCCTCCGACGCAACTGATCCGAGTGCAAGCAAACTTTGGCATAGTCTTTGAAAAAAAAAAAGAACGTGTACTATTTTTCAAGGGGGTGTGGAACGAAAAAAAAAAAAAAAAAAAAAAACCGGTTGATCGAGCACCTGATCTCTCGAAAGCGACACAATGGACATTCCAATCAAAACTGCGTGTACCAACAGCGGCACTATACGCGAGCAAGTACCTATACACTTGATGCACTTTGAGCGTCAAGTGAATGTCAAGTTCGCTGTCTGTTACCTACATTTTTATATATACATGTATATATATACTGCGCTGTGCGTATCTATCTATCTTCCTAGCTGGCAATCGAAATGCGCGAGTTGCGAGGGAGACCGCAGCTGATGTGCATGTATATATATATATGCAGTACGTTGCACAGAAGCCGCGGGACAACGGTATAAAATAATGGGATTCGGCGGGTCGGCCACGTATTTCCGCGAGTCTTTCTCTACAAACACAGATATACACCCAAGTGTTCGTTATACTCTCGTAGGCGGATGCGCGTGCGTTTCCACGCTCGTAATGGATCACAGCTTTTAGAGTTTGTCACTTTTTTTTTTTTTTTTTTTTTTGTTGGTCTTCAAACGGTGCGATTAGCACGAGAGATCGCACGGGTGATTTGAGATTGTGTATATGCGCCAGTGACTCACGAGGTATATTGCGTCACACGTCCTGGTAACAATAATAGATGTGTGTGTGTGTATTATCATGTAACATCAGGGGATAATGGTCCTCGATGGTGATTATGTATAAATTTTTTTCTTTTTTTTTTCTTTTTCAAACACGTAGGTATAGTTTTCATAATATTGGAGTTAGGTACAAACTGGGTATTTGATTTTATTTTAACATTTAAGAAGATGAATGAAAAAAGCTGATGTGTCTCGGTGAGTCGCATCTGAATTGGGGAAAAAACGTTAAACAGGAACTAAGCTAAACCAAGCAAACTCGTAACATGTATTTTGCTATGCTCTATAAAAATTATTTTCCGGGAATAATACTGTGAAATGAAAAAATTTGTTTACTTTAGTAGCTTAATCACCTGAAGGATCTTTTTTTTTTTTTTTTTTTCATTATTTACTAGTTGAGACAATGTCAAATAAACGCAAATATTTAATTTTTTTCTTTTCGCATCATCTTATTTGATCCCTTTTTATACATAAGCAAGGAAAATATGTTTTGTAGCTAATTTGCTTGTCGCGTGTTATAATCTTTTTATCAGCCGAAGCGCAAGTTTCTTCTCGCAGTACCTCATCCGGATACTATTAAAAATCATTCAAACGTTACGTCATTACGTGGCAGTTTTATCAGCATCATTATTACGTGTTATCCCAAACTATGGTAAAGATTAAAAGAACACCTGCGTCAAACGGATACAAAGTTTGGAGCAACTATTGGGTTTTTACGCGCGTACATCATTACTTATATTATGTTACAGTCTAATGTTTACTTTGTAAATAAAGATGGAAAAAAAAAAAAAAAAACAAGATAATGCTTAAATTTTTAGATACAATTCAAAAGCAATAAAATATTTTGACCTTTAAATTCAATGTGACTACTTTCATAGTCACTTTTAAGCAAAATAATTTTTTTTCCCGCTTCTATTTTCTACATTTCACATTTGTGTTGACAATAATCATGCAAACCCTTTTGTTTTTTTCTTAAAAATACTTTTCAAATTTAGTGAATAAACAATAATTTAAATAACTTCTTTTTGATAAAAATATACATATCATATAGTATACCATAGACGCACAAGGGATATATTCAAAAATTACTTGCAATTTCATTTTACTTGAACCTCCATCAAATAAAGCCTTATTTTTTTGTCCAAATGTTTTTCTCAAAGTATAAACAAATGACGTAATAAACTCATTGTACTTTGGCGTGCAAGTAATCATTAAAAAACCCCGCCAAACAATCTTGGCGAATAAAAAAGCCATCGGTCTCTCGAAGGTAGACGGGAAACGACCGATTTCATCCCAATAACCATTTCAATTTCACCATAAGCGTGAAATTTCCGATCCAAACCGTGGCGTAAAATGTTCTCGGCAAGTCAATTCAATCTCCCCGCCCGTACAATCATCCCGAAGCGCGAACGCTCGCTGTCTTCGCGTAATAGTTTCCCCCCGTTTAACGCCCCTCAAGGGCCCGGCCAAGGTCGCCGATCGGAAAATAAAGTTGCAATTTGCTCGGGGATTAAAGCCCCTATCGTTAAACGGACGCTTTTACGGCTGCCGCGAGGGATGTGCATAGGGAAAAACTCTGCGCGCCCGAGCGATCTTTTAACGATTTCTCGTGCACGCGCGCCTTTGAGGTGATTTATTCGCTTGCCCCTCTCTCCAGTGTGGGTAAACTTGAAATAATTTCAATCTCGTATTTTCTCTTGTATCTTCGATTTATATGTGTACAAGGTGTAGTGACTCGCCGATTTTCATCGATCGCGAGATCGGTAATAAATTAGACGCTGGTTATCTTTGAATTTACATCGCCGTGAAAATTGGTGCGATGTTTACGATTGAATTTGTTTTATGGGTGGGTATCGGCAGGGTATACGTGCGCGTATATGCAA